GAAAGCGACCTGATCGGCCTCAGAATCTCAGTTCACAGGTCTATCTTCAGCAGAAGTAAAACAATTGTTTCAGAATTTTTTTTTTCTGAAAGCATTTACCTCAAACTATGATTCCTTTTTCATCTAATTTAAAATTTTACATTGGCAAGTTCTCTTCCCAAGTTTTTTCTGGAGGGATGCTCTCCATATGTTAAAGTTGGAGATACAGCATCGCTTAAATAATTTCGAGAAATGTTAAGAGTCATTCAAAAAGGCTTTTTGCATTTAAGATAATATGAATAGTTCATAAACAAACTTTTGTATTTTCTTGATTAAGATGTTGTGACAATATCTATCTATACTTTTCTTTCTGCATTTATATTACATTTATTTGTAAGGTTTATGTTGCAACTGGAAGCTCAAGTTCTACAAATAATACTAGACGAACAGCGAGTTATCAGTATGTCTTAAACAATTCACAAAATCAAGACGCAAGAAATACACGCCGACTTGGAAATAAAAATTCATCAGGAGACCCCTTTTGCAGAATTTTTTGCTCCTGATGAAGGACGACCCGTTTTGCCATCGAAAGTGATTGGGATTTTACAAAATCTACGCCGAATACAAGGTTGTCGATTTACCTGTTTTATTAACTCACAAAATACTGAAAAATTATAAATCACCTTTTTACTTTCTTAACTTGAACATAAATGTACAGCTCAAAAGGTTTTACTTTATTTTAATGAATTATTTTTAGTTTGACTTCTTGTTTCTCCTGATTTGAGTTTCCTGCCGGAATGTAAATTTTGTATGACGTAGATATAAATTTTAAGCGTGTTTCAGAAGCAATAAGCATGAAAAAGGTGAGCAATTGAAAGTTACTTTCTTCGTAGTTAAAAATTTGCAAGCTAATGTCATTTTAGGTATCGACTTCCTCAAGTGAGAGGAAACAAGAATAAATTTTCAAGAGTCCACTATCACGCTGGAGATGGAGAAGCCAAAGTCTGAGGAAGTTAAACTTCCAGCGCTGGAACTAAATAATTTGAAAAAGGACTGAAAAAAAAAAAAAAAAAAAAAAAAAAAAAAAAAAAAAAAACTTGTTGTTTTTCTTTCTTTTTCTTGGTGACGAAATTCAACTTGAGTTTTTCATGTCTCGAAAGAGCGACTTAGGATATATATTAGATTTATACACAGCATTATTCTAACATAGGTATTTTGACACAAAATCGGGATTTTTCTGAAATGACCTATCTATTTTTTTCCACATTTAGATTCTGCGACTCAAATTAGGCCAATTTGTCAAATTCTGTAAAAATCTCACGAGTAGTTTTTAAAAAATTATCTCGCAAAATTTTAGTTCCTCAATAATAATTGAATTTGGTATAAATTTTTAACATCTCTTTTTTTAATAAACTTATTTAATTTCTTCTTTCACAATTAAAAATTTAGGTTCAATCCAAATTCGCAGATATTTTCTGGTTTATTTTTTAAATTTGTGTCTTTTAGTAATTTTTATAAACTTTTCAAAAGAAGTTTTGAATTCTAACCTATAAAATGCTTAGCATCATCTTAAAGTTGATTCATTTCTAGGCTTACTTGCAAACAACTAAAGCTTTTATATTCAAAATTTTTCAAGATATACGCGAATTCATATATTGGTGCCTTTTGAAATTTATCATAATTGTTATAAGCTATAATAACGCCCAATGAGTTTTGTTAATATTTTATCACACTTTACACATTTTGTTAAAATTATTTGAAAGAATGAAGGATTCACCTTTTCTTTCCGCTCGCGCACACTGAAAAAAGGAAAAGGAAGATAGGTTACTATAAATTGAGAATTTCGCCGAATGAATTGTTCTTGGCACAAACTGAAAGAAGTGATCTAAAATAAATTTTTAATTTCTCAGTTATTCATAAAAATTTTTAAAAATTTAATATTTAGGCTTAATTTGAGTCTTAGAATCGAAATATGGAAAGTTTCGTTTCGGGAAAAGTTTGATTTTATGTCAAAATACCCATGTTAAAGCAATGCTATATAGAAATCTACTATATATTCTAAGTTGCACTTTCGAGACATAAAAAATGCAAGTTGAATTTCATGAATCGCTCCAGTAGAATGGAAAATATAGAACTGTCCGACATTGAAAAAAAAAAAAAATTGGTGTGTGTGTGTGTGCAGAGTGTCCCATATCTTTTCCTGTAGCTAACATTATAAAAGGTGGAAGTAGCGGAGAAAAAAACCTAAGCCTAATTACGTGCTATGAGCTTGGGAAGGTCTCCGGGCGCTGAGCTACGCCGTGCTAAGTCATTGTGGTGTAAAAGCAGTGAACTACGTTATCCACTAACAACTGTAGATGAGACGTTAAGCGATAAACAATAAAGATATTGAATGATAAGCGATTAATGTTTCGTAGAGGCATTACTCGACTGAAAGTCATGGCGTTACGTCAGAGTGCAAAGTGAAGAAATCGAATCGAATCCATTTGTATTAAACACAAGTATCTAGCTCAAAATGGCTTTTCTCTTGCACTAAATTGAGTTTCTATGTACGGACAATGTAAGAATAAATAAATGAATGCGCACTGCCCCGCCACCAAGATGGAAGAATGGAGATGGTGGAGAGTGCGGAGGTTCTGGCTGTATCCGTCTGCAGCCAATGCTGTAGCTAGAAGTACTAGAGTACAACTTCATACAGGTCAGGCATTGGATAAGGAGCGCGACTTCTTCAAAACCATATAAATTTGGAATAAGAATGACTGAAATAGGTGGGGTAAGGAGGAAAATGAATAATAGGAAGACTAGAAACTTAAAAGAGATATTTGAAGAAATTGTGAAGTAAGAATTAAATTACGTTAAATACAGTAGAATCGCGTTGGTCCCTTTTCTATTAATCTGTTCTCTGAAATAATAATTTAGTTCTATTAAGCTGTTTTTTACTTGTTCGAGTTTTCTAAAAAATTATTTTGCAATTTTTGCTATACATTCTCCTACTTTGTCCCACGTCTAATTCATAATGGATTGATTCGTTTCTTATGAACCAGTGGCATGTAGAAATCTGTCTGAAGGTAGCCATTTGTATTTGCTGCAGTTTTTTTAAGTCATGAATTACATAAATAACCCCAAATGGGACAGGCATAAGTCAGTATAGGATTCAACATGGTCTTGTACCAGAGTATCTCATTTCCTCATTCATCAAGGAAGAACGGAGGTTTGGGGCAATTAAGGGATTGAGTAATGTTTTAGCACCCCGAAGCTTGTTAAAAATATGTGACATGTACGGGTCCATACGAGTCTTTGTCTAAAATAACAACAAGGTATTTGACTTGCTTGGTCCACAGGATATTTGTATTATGCACACTGAGTGATGCTCCAGTCCTTTCCTTGTGAAGAGGACTGCTTCTGATTTTTCTACGTTGGTTTTTGTCTTCCATTTGATCATCCCAGACTAGCGCATTAATGATTTTTTGTAGAGTTTCAACGACTGAAACCAGAGACTCGTTTGGATATCAGATCGCTGTGTCATCGGCGTATTATGCAAGTGTAGTGTATAAATTATGTAGAATGTCGTTCGTAAATAGTGAAAAAAAAGGAGGGTAGGAGCTACCAAAGAGCTTTGGGAGACTAACGCAAGGATTTCTCGAATTGTTAAGTATGCATTATTGTGACGAACGAAAAAGTTTGCATCATAAAGACAGGAATTGATGAAGTTTATTATATAATCTGAAAAATCCAGAGTTATTAATTTGTAGGTGAGCGCCTGTAAACATACGCAAACAAGGGCTTTTGATATATCGAGGAAGAGAGCGCTTGTGATGAGTTTATTCTTCAGACCATCAGCGATAAGTTCTGTAATTCGATATAGCTGGTGAGTCGTCGATTTTTTTTACTGAATCCGTGCTGTTTAGGGATCATGATGTTTTCCTCCTCGATGCAGTTTATTCTTTTCAGTATAACAGCTTCAGCCAGTAGCTGAATTAATTCTACACATTTTACAGCATCATTCTGTCAATGGTCATCACTACATCATTAATCCGACCTCTGCGCTAATGCTTTTGTTAGTGGGAGTACATAAACAATGTCTTTAATGTAGCCCCAGCGAAAGAACTTGCAAGGTATTAAATCAGGTGACTTGGGTGCCAAGGGAACAAAAAGAGATCATCCTCACAGACATGCAAAATCCATTCGATGCGGAGGTTCATCGTTCAAGTATCGATAAACGTGAATGTTCTTATGAAGAGATGACCCTTTCCATTGAAAGACAAAATCCCTCGAATCAGCAGGCGGCTGCCGAAGAAACCCTCAACTGCAATATATCCAGTTAACTTGCACCAGTCACAATCTTTGTGTACAAACGTGATGAGTTTGATTATTTTCAAATGTAAATCTCACTTCTACGGGTAATACCTTTGAATGTATAGTGTTCTGAAAGTGAATGAGTTTTCTATAGTAGCCTTGGCCTTTTATAATATTTCACCGGCCCATATTTAAAACATCAACCAGCGAAATACTAAAGCCGGCATATGACTTTTATGCAGAGCTGGCAAAAATACTAACAAAAAAAAAAAAAAAAAAAAAAAAAAAAAAAAAAAAAAGCGCGGCTGCCAGAAACACCAATTTAAAAATTCAAAACGTTCAGCGCAAAGACGATTTGCATTTTGGTGAGCAATATGAAAATGAGAAATTATAGTAAAGACTTAAATAATAATAACTGGTTAATGAACTTAAGATACAAGTTAAATTCCATTGCTGTTTTGAAGGATACTGTTTTCTTACTAATTAATGTTATCGTGCGGTTAATGTTATGCAAATAGCCGTGGACAAATGTGATCACACTAAGCGACGTCTACTACATTGATATCGCTGCCTCTTTCACTCAAATAAGATGAAATGATGATTAAATACGAGCTTCATGTGGGTTGTTTTCCTAAACATTTCATGTCCTCCGTTACTTGCCTTGAAAAAATTCAAATGTAAATTTAGGGACATTTGTGGAGATGTGATTAATGATAAATTCTTACCAAACTTGAATTCATTGTCCGTTAGAGAAATCCTTTAAAGTCGACGTTATCCCATCATTGTCATTCGCATTCTTTCTGACATATCGCTCCACCACTCGCCGAGGTCACTCCAGAAATTTCCCAGCTCATACCAATAATTTGCCATTTGGGCTTCTGAAATAAATTAAGCAAATTATCATCCCACAGGAAGAACATATTGAATTAACAAAACTGTTGTAAGCAAACCTCAAGATTTTCTCACCACTAGATATTATTTCTTATTCCTCTAACTGCAACAATCTCAGACATAGAATGATTAGTTAGTAAATATGGGCAAAGCAAAATATGAATTTTTTTGGTACAGTACTGTGTGCCTTCCACGCTTTCACCTAACTTAAAATCATTCATAATTCTATCATCGCAGTGTTTAAAACGGGGACCTCTTTCTATGAACGCAACAAATTAAAAACCTCTCCAATTGTTCAGCGGATTTTATTTTCTATGCCACCCACAAATAAATAAATAAGTAAATAAAAATAAGAAAACAGTTTGGAAAGTTTGAGATTTTAACAATCGTCCAAAAGGGCTGTTTCCAAAAGGGCTGTTTTGTTTAACATGGTTTATCAGAAGAGTTAATAGAATTGGTTCAGGGGAATAATGATACATTTTATAGAATATATATATAAGTTCTGCATATATAAAAAGTGACAAAATATGTGGTGTAATTCTATAAAAAATATTTAGTGTTTTCAATTAGATATATCATGGATTAAATGCATTTTTATTCAAGTCTATGATTAAAAAGTACTACGCTGTTCCTAGAATTGACGATATTCTGGGCACGTTCTGGAAGCAAGTGGTTTCTGACACTTGATATAAAAAGTGGATATTGTCAGGTAGAGATACATCCTGATGACCAGGAAAAGACGGCATTTACTACCAGACAAGAACTAGCAATTCAAGCTGATGCCGTTTGGATTATGCAATGCCCCGGCAACATTCGAATGCTTCGTGGAGACTGTTTTGAAAGGTCTTTTCTACGAAGCCTGTCTGATATACCTGGATGACTACACCTGGAAATTATCTATCTCAGTACAAAATTCGTAACATTGCCGCCTTCCCAAGAACTGCGCGTCCCAGGAATCGTCGGGAAGAGTTTTGAAGAATATCTAGAAAATCTTAGAAAGGTAATTCAAAAAGTGAAAGAAGTCAATCTAAAGTTGCGTGCCTCTAAACGTAAATTATTCAGATAGAAAGCGTGTGTACGGATCCTGCAAAGAATGTCAGCAGTTAAAGACTGGAGATGCCGCGAAAATGTCCATCAACTGACAAGATAGCTAGAGCATTACACCTACTATAGGAGCTTCATGAAGAACTTTTCTTCCATCGCAAGAGTCCTCCACAAGCTGACATAGAGCAAGCAAAAGTTTTTGTGGACAAAAGAATGTGAGGATGCATTTAGCAGACTAAGGAAGCTTTAACATCTGTTCCAATCCTGACGTATCCTCAGCCCGACCGACCATTTATTCTCCAAATGGATGCGAGCAATCAAAGTATCGGTGCTGTTTTGTCCCAAGAAATAAATGGCCAAGAACGTATCGTGACCTACTAGAGAAAATGCCTATCTAAACCGGAGAGAAATCACTGTGTCACCGTGAAAGAGTTGCTTGCCACAGTTAAAGTCTTAGAACATTTCTATCATCATCTCAAAGGCAGAAAATTCCTGCTCCACACGGAACATGCATCATTGACCTGGTTTTTAAATTTCAAGAATCCTGAATGTCAAATAGCCAGGTGGATACAGAGACTCCAGGAATATGACATAACTATCCATCATCGGAAGGGATCATCACATGGAAACGCCGACGGCCTGTCCAGAAGACCTTGCCCATGAAGTTGCTGATATTGTTCCAAGGTCAAAGCTAACTACGAGCTGCTGAATCCGATCGTACAACTTCAACATCAGCTGATAGATACCCGTGAAGTAATGACTAAAGTAGGAAACACCAACTGGAAGACGGCAACATCAAACCCATAATTGACTTAATGGAGTCTTCAAACATAAAACCTAAATGGCAGAACATTTTGATCCTACGACAAAACAATATTGGACTCTCTGGAGACTCACTCCACAATTTAAACGGAGTCTTATACCAGAAATTCGAATCGCATGATAGAAAAGCTTTCCGATAGCAAGATCTCTACAGCTGAAAATCTGGTTTCGCATAAATATGATGTTCCAAAAGGGATGAAAATCCTTAAAGCTTTTGAACTTGGAGTTGGATGTTCATTTTTGATGATTATCTAAAACTCTACCAAATCGGAATAAGCGAATTTTGTTTTAAGGCGATTGTCGAAAGAGAGTTCATAAGACTCTCTTCTTCTTGTGAACTGAATTCTCGTGGAGCTTAAGTATGGAAAGGATTCTGGATCCACGAATACTTTTCGATATTTGCAAAGTATTGTAAGTATTTTGCAAACCATTCAGTGAGCTTCGAAAGGTGTTCAGTTAAAAGAGACAACAATTTTTTAGAGATAATGAGTACATTAGAGGACGCGTATTTATGCAATTCGAGGAAACAATCTCGACGGCAATCCTTATTAATTTTTCTTCTAAACGCCACAATCATATCCAATAGTTTAAATATGGACCTATTATTGCCTTGTAGAGAAAGATTAGAGGCATTCATTTTGTCAAATATATCGCACAAATATGCCAGTTTTTTGGTTCGGCAAAGTATCTGGAGTTTGCATATCTTTCCTCTTGCAGAAAAGCGTGAATTTCTTGATGCAGCTCGAATGCGCGTTGCAAGTGAAAGCCATCGTGAACTGTAGTAATATAGCAGGACTGTATGTTCAGCTTCCATGTCCATGCAAAGTTTTTTTGAATAGTTTGGCTTTTAGCGTCCTAGTTTTATGTAATTTATTACGTCTATGATACGTTCCAATACCAAATTCACTTCAGTTCATCGACTTCAATGCAAGTGCTTCCCTATGGATGATGCCAATAGGTCCACATAACATGAGGTGCTTTACTGCGAATAAGAACTTGGAATCCTCCATACCTGCCAGACATTAAACAAGGGCGGTCAGTACACACACCGATACACTTTTCCCAATCTAAATTATTTTTTGTTATAAACTTGACAAGAATTTCAAATAAGTTTTAGCACCCTCACTTTTGCTTTGGCAAAAAAGAAGGCCTTCAACAATTATATTATTATATAGAAAACGTACGTAACAAATAAGGTATGCATCTTTATTACTGTCAGTAGCCTCATCAATTTGTAGACCAAAATCCTTGCCTTACATTTTCTCTATTAATTGGTCATTGAGATCCTCGACAATATGATGGATTCTTCGACTAAGAGTGTTCTTAGAAAAAGGTAAATTTGTAATTAGTTTTCCCGCCGATTCTCCTACCGTAATATTAATTCGTCACCCTGTAAGCCACCTTGAAAGATGCTAACAGTGCGTTGCTAGGTACTAAAGCTTGTTGAGTGAACACTTTTTCTCTCTTTTTTTGTAAATTTTGCAACTTCTTCTATGAAAATCGCGCAATTTTTCAACCATGGTAGGGTGAATGGTCTCCAGTTGCCGTTTTAGCTCACTTGGGAGCATACTCTCCTATGATAGAATTTTAAAGCAGAGCACAATATTGCAGTCTTTATTTATTATTAACTTCTGCTGAAATAAAGTCAAAGTCCAAACAGCTATCATTGCATTTGCGATATTTTCGCCTTTTTGCTCCCCGGACACTTGCCGAGGCTTGATCACTCTGACTTGAACTATCAACTAGCTTATTTAATGAAAATCTTTTCATTCTGTGACTAACTTTTTACGAAAATACAAAACAGCACAATTTTAAAAGAACGCAACTGAACTGCTTACATACATATGTTTAAATATATATTATAACTTTTGTCTGTCTTGGTTTGTAAATCACAACCCTTTGTATCACTACCAAGAATACTTTATTACTACTTCTATTTAACAATTTAACAGCTTAACGCTTACGATAAACTAACTCGGCAATGAACCTACGGCGGCTTGTATACTACCACCATAGGGTGCTCGCGACAAGTTCTGTAGATGCGACGCGACGATCGATTGCGGGATTCTAGAAATCTCTAGCGTCGGCTAACAAAGAATTCGGGCGTTGCCAAACCCAACCCAAATTCCGTACGTGGGAAAAGAGCGGTGTTATCGGTTTAATACGCAACGAGCGATTTATGCAGCGCATGTGATTTGAATTTAAATTCTGTAAAAGAGTAAACAGGAGCGTTTCGCAAAGCAGCGCACACTTTGGGAACGCCTGATCTATTTCATATTTTTTAAAACTTTAACGAATTTTCGATTAAAAAACCCAACGATTTCAAAGCGAGCATTGGAAACATTGTATAGAATAAAACATTTTTATCTCCTGCTCGCAAGTCTGTCTATCGGAAATTCTAAAGGTACGCTGTTTTTAAATATTCTTAGCCAAAATGTTCTCGAAACGTGCATGTGTCTACAAATAGAAAAATAAAATAAAATAAATAATAATAATAATTTAAAAAAAAACACCTTTGAACTTATCTGAAATCTTAATGTGCATGTGTGTAAATGGGGGGGGGGAAATAACCGCTGCTCTGGGCATAATATAAAACCTGGGAAAGATTTCAGATTTTTTTTTTATAAAATGTTTCTTTTTTACTCTGCATTCATGTACTACTCATTCATCCATAATTAACAAATTAACTTGCAGTTAAATTTCTTATTCATATAACTAACTACATTGTTTTGAAGTTTATGTAATATAATATGAAAAGTTTGAAGAACGAAGCTTTGCCGGAAAATTAAGATTGCAGGGAAAAGTTTATTTAATACTGAGTAAACTGGCATCTCGCAAAATCGGCGAGATATAACCAAGCTGGTGAGAGTTTTTGGAATAATTTTTGTCGCCAAAATTGTGATTACTTGGCAAAATTTTGGTCCAGAATAACTATAATTGGTACCGTAATTGATCCCTATGTGTAACTATAACCACATTTGCCCCTCATATGCAACTACATGCATATATACCTTCCAGTAATTTCGAGAAATGGAAGGTACTAAAGATTTCTCAGTGGCAGGGGTAAAACTGTATAAGAACAGAGAGAGCATCAGTTTTTCAGTTCAGAGTTGACTTCGGAAGTATTGAGATATCTTCCTGTGAGCTTCACTGTTTAGATGCGCTTTGCATTAAGCTCTGTTTAACGTTCTTAATAGTCTGAAGTGTAACTATTAATTGTGCTCTGTGATACTGAGAAGAGCTGTACAAAAACTTCAAGAACTGTAAAGTGTTTCGTTTGAGAAAATAAATTTTATCAAGATATCATTGGCTCTGTATACATTCAATCCATTACGAACCCGAACGCATGCAACAATATTTTTGTTTCCTGAGAATAAGGCTGCCTCCTACACTATTTTTTTTTTTTTTGGCTTTGCCAACACATTTAGCTAGCTCAAATACACTTAGCAAATTTTGAAAGCGCAACACTCGTTATTAGAGGAATTTTGGTTTCGTTTTTTCCTTTAATATTGACCTCTGACAAATGTTCGGGAATACTCAGTTTTTGGAAAAATATCCCAACTCCTTAAGCTCTTCTCGTTTAAAATTAGGACAGTATATTCAACACCTCACTCAGTACACTACCTATTTACAGTAATACATTAGGGATTTTTCTTTCCAGTTGATAAAATATTCAATCATCTTCAGTTTTGGCAACATTAGGGTACTTTACGTTACTTCGCACTTCGCTTCCACCTCCTCTGTCTAATTTTTGTCCACAAATAATTTTTTTACATAGCCGAGGCTTTCATTTTATTTTTTAAATCCTCTTTTTTATCTGGCTTTATAAATAAGAGTATCTGCTTGTATAGGAACACAAATCGCTATCTTCAGACACAGCTAGACTGGAAACGACAAAGTTGAAAAAAGAAACGACAAAGTTGTAAGAAGGTTAAACCATCTTTTCATTGAACTCTTTAAATAGGCACAAGGCAGTACTTGTGCTACAGAATGTAACTCCTCTGTTTTCGGGTATTTAAAAGGCACAGTTGATTGAGGTATTAATAAATCTAAGTTTCTGTTTTGAGGCAGAACATCCTGGAAGGGGGTGGTTTAAGAGTCTCCCACCTCTCTTCCTCTACCATCAATCTTTCGGGAGGACTTTTGTCTCGCTGTGTATTCTAAGTGCCCCCTTTTCGCACAGACACTATACCAAAGCTACCAAGCTTGATATCTTTAAAACCGAGAGATTTTGCGAGAAATCCAGGAGAAACCTGGATTCATGTTGTACGCCGACACCATTTCAAAAGCTTTCCAAACTAACTTTAATTCAGTTAAAATGCATGATTCATGTTATTCTACTGCTTGTAAAACAATCTGGATGTAAAATATATTGGCACTTAATTAGGTATTCTAAATTTAGGGCTTTCTGGCTAATTTAATATTTAAATTTTCTTTCACTTTTATACGGAGAAAATTCCCATTTAGTGAAAGAAAGCTTTTATTTACCAAAGTACTTTTAAATACGATGAAAATAAAATAAATGATTTATGTATATAGTATTTGTGAGGATAAACTTAGTAATATACCATATCCTGAAATAAAATAAAATTAAATACAAATATTAACTCTTTAAACATTCTTTGAATCTTCATACAAAAATCTACAAACATCTGCAGTAGATTAAGAGAATTCACATTAAATGAAATTTAATAAGAAAAATTAAATAAGATCAACAATGTAATAACAAAATTGTAATAATAATTTAGATGAAATAAATTTAAAAAGAAAAGGTATTCTGAATGTCACTAGAGGTGAGGGAATGAAATTTCAACAATTTAAATTTCACTAATTCAATAAATTTCATTTATTGTTGGAAGTATTTTCCTTCACAAGGCTAAAAATTAAAAACCGGGAGACTTCATGATCTAACGGCAAACCGAGAAATACAATAAAAAACCGGAAGAATTGGCAGCTATGCTATACGCTTACGAACTCCAAGCCTTCTCCAGTGTTCGAACCCGGGCCCATCGGTACAACATTCAGAGTAACTAAACATTGAACCGACTAGGTGGCGCTATTTAATATAAGATAAAGAAACTGAAAGTTGAAGTAACTTATTTTGAGACGACACACAAACTGGTCTACTTAAGCTGCCCTAAGAAATTAAAATGCCGGTTAGCGAAATGGCAAAAGCCGGAATAACTTTGGTAGAATTGGTGATAGTAACTGCAGTGCGAGGCTACCAGAAGCTCTCACTCTATAACATTAAAATCCTCAGCTTAAATACACAACAACTAATTTGCATTCTGGTGAGGGCTACGGAAAGAAGTTAAAGTAAAAGTTCGAACATAATAATTTGTTAATTAACGTAAAATCCAACCAGAAAAACTGGGCTATATTTCATAAACAGCATTATTTGAAGAAAAAGTAAATTTACAACAGCAATAATTACAGTTATCTGTCAATGAAAATGGAAGGAAATTACTTACGATAGTCACCTTCAGCACCGCCTCCAGCGCCCCCTTGCGTAGCTCCTCCCATTCCTCCAGTCTGCCTCGTTCTTTGAGCAATTACTTGAGTAGCTAAACCAAAAGCTAGTATAATATATGCCAAGGTACAAATACCCATATTCGTCTGAAAATTCTAGATGAAGGGGGAAAAAACATATTCCAACATAAATATTGGTCAAATATTATCCGTTGTTTGTTAAAATGGTAAGAAAATAGGCTTCAATAAACATGCATTATTGCTTTTGTAGTACGATAGACGTCACTTAATGTGATCACGGTTAATGTTATTCATCGGATATTGTTATAAAACTGCCGAAGTCTTGCCCTTTGTACACAAAAACATGGTAAATGCATCGTTTATTGTTATCAACAGTTCGGTTAATATGACTAAAGTATTACAGAATAATTTTTTAACTGAAATAAAGTCGCCAAATGTGGGACAAAGTAGCCAAATAAAGTCAAAACATATTACAAAAAAAATTGCCAAATGTTAGAAAGATGTCGCCAAATAGCTTGTTTTAGATTTAAATCAACCATTTAAAATGAAGTAAGAAAGCAACCTTAATTTTGGTTAGATTTTGAATAATTTTATCGATTTTGAGGATAAGACACAGATCCCTCTTCTACAGGAATTAAAAAAAGAATCTGCAGAATCTTCCCCTGATTCTTAAGGGAAAAAAAAAAAAAAATCCCATAAAAACATCTACGTCAAAGTAAGGTTTTATGCTGATTTTTTTTTTATAATTTTTTTTAATTTTTATTTTTTATTTATTTATTTTTTTGGCCCTATTTTCAAATTTTACATTTGCATGTTGTCTTTTAGCGAGAATAGCCCACCAGCGGCCGAGTGGTAAAGTCGCTGAACGCCGGTAGTTCGGTCCGAGGTTCGAATCCCGCGAACGGGCTGGCTGCATGGTTAAATAAGTTACGTTCCACTTCTGCTTTGAAGGATGATTTTTCTTATCATTTAATGTTATCATTTAGTTGATGTTATCAAAATAGCCATGAACAAACGTGATCACATTAAAACGCGCCTATGTTAAATGCAAAAATAAATTTTTTTAACCGTATTTATAAAACTGCGAACTGTTTCAAAAATTTCCATATTCAACATGCAATGATTTAATCAAATTAAGATTTTGTATCTCACAAACAAAATTGCACAGCCAAACTTCGTATATACTTTCTTAAAAAACATTACGTGAAAACATTATGTACACTTAAAAACATTGTGCACATTTCGTGATGTTATAACCAGCATACGCGCGTCAGTACGACATTCTCAGTAGGATAGAAACTTATTGAATGACAAACTGCTTTATATAACAATGGTTACGCTCCGCCCACTACTTTTAGCGTCACTTCTCAATGGAGGTTAGTTTTCCGAACTACTCTCATAAGAAGAAACGGAAAATCTAGATTTGACTGATGAATTAAACACTGAAACTGAATTTAGAGACAAAGACACATTGACTGAAGATGACTGCTTCGGAATACGAGCGTTCTGAATTAGGTCTAATAAAGATCTCTGAAGAAATATTTATACAAGAACAGAAGGTGGGGGCTTTAAATTGAAGCCAATATATGAAGAAACTAGAAAAAAAATCTTGTAAAGGTACTTCATCTAGAAACATTGGAATCGAATATAGAAGATAAAAGAGATGCACTTACATTTTGTCTACATTTGGTGAACAGATTACCAAAGATAATGATTAACATATAAAATCTAATCTTTTCCGTATAAAAATATGTGAACCTGCTGTTTTAAATAACACAGTTTTTACTCTCTGAAGATACGGAAGCGACCGAAGTTATACCATTTATCAATACATCTTGAACTGAAAATAATATAAATGTTTTGCAAACTTTTAGCTATCCTCTATCTATAGGTATAAATGAAGACACACTGCATCATGGTAAAATGAAATCCATGGATGTATCAGAAATACCTTCAGATAATCTTGTATAAAAAGAAAATATATCTTTTAAAACTAGAATTTTATATGAAAATGGAAGTGTGCTTACTAAAAGTAGAGACTTAGAAAAAGTCACTTTTACATCACAATACACAAAATTCTGCAAAACAATCCTTATCAAAAGTGTCTGAATAAGATGAATTGAACATTGATGAAAATGGTATCGAAAATGATTTTTTGATCCTGAAAAACATGACAAGAGAATACAAGAACTTCTTTAATGATGATCATTTTCCATATGATGAGGAACTCGACAATGAAGATTTGGACCATGGGATTGGACCAAGCAAAAAGTGATGAGTGCGGTAAAGAACAACTTGAAGAAAGCGCTTCTGAAAAATCAGATATTGGGATTATGAATTCTAAATCAGAGTTTGAGAAATAAATATTTGAGTCAACTCATACAGAAAGCAAAAGGATTAGAAAAAAATTCTGGCTTGCCAAATATAAATCAGTTTTAGATCCGGATAGAAAACGTTTGATGAGTATTTGGAAGAGCTACTGAGATATATATAACGTTTGATGAGTATTTGGAAGAGATATTGAGATATATATAACGTTTGATGAGTATTTGGAAGAGATATTGAGATATGACGTTTGATGAGTATTTGGAAGAGATATTGTGATATGACGTTTGATGAGTATTTGTATATAATCAGATTGTGAAGATATGATTGGTGATATGATAGTCAAATTCAAATATAGGAAAGTAGCGCCAAATAACTTTAGGCTGGCAGTTGATGAAATAATAAGTTCCGAAACTGAGTAGTAGTAGTAGAAAGAGAAAGGAAATCTAAACAGAGTATAATAAAAAAAATTCCAAGCCACACGAATTTGTTCCTGATATATTTAATGAAAACAAACTGAAGGTTTATTTGCAAATGGGAACTTAAGTGATGAGAAAATCAGATTAACACAAAATCATGGAAATGAAAACACAAAAGAATGAAAAGGTTTCATCACCTATCTGTTGGAGCATTACTTAAACAGAACATTTCTCAAAGAAATTATTCGTTAAAAAGGGACATTTTGAGCTGCCGGTAGGAGACAAAAGATTTGCTTTATCTGATGCTGGCTGACTGCAGATGGAATTAATCTAAACAAGTTTAAAAAGGAAAGAAAAGATCCCACCAAAATGATTCATTCTTAAATTTTTTACTCTAAGGGCGAAAAAAAAACTTTTCATCAAAAAGTTCCCGTGAGACTTTAAGACTGTAATGTCTGTGTTGCTTACACTATCAAATAAATATTCAGTGAGATGTGTAAAAGTTCTCCGCTTAAAAGACGCTCCTTTGAAGATGCGTGGAAAACCCTTGATAAAAAATGTCTTAGTTTTCTGTAAGTTTGAAAAATAAAAAGTTTGATGTTCGATCAAAATATGAAGTCTTTTTAAACGCTTTATTACAGACTAAAAGATACTTATTCAGAAAACAAACAACAAAAATCAGCGTTATATTTACGAAATTTCCACAGGACTAGTTTCGATGGTTTTACCGAACCACCATCCTCAGCTGCAAAACCGCAAAATGCAAAAATAAAAGATACTTATTCTTCCATCGAAATTACGCGCTATACGTTATGAAGATGTAAAAAAGGTACAAATGTGATCATAAAATTGCGTACAGATTCTGTCCAATGTTAAGAATATTGTCAAGAGTAAAAAAAAAAGTGTTTAATCGGTAACGGCGATTGCTGACATTTTTATGCACCGTCATTCCGTCATCGTGCATCTTCTTTATCCAAAGTTGAAAAGTATCATCATCATCACACACAAGTATTCACGTACGCACACACACATATATTAGTTTTGTATTAAATGTATGTATGTGTGTATATATGCATATATATATATATATATATATATATATATATATATATGTATATATATAATATAAATATAAATCTACTACTTTCAAAGACAAAAGGAAAAATAGTAATCATAAAATACATGGGAAGTATAAATGAAAAAAATACAACCAATAAATGTTAAAAAAATAATTTGGGAAGGAAAAAAGAGCAACTTAGATTTTTGAAAATGTTAGCTTTAGGCCAGAATTGGTTAGAAATCGTAGCTTAAAAAAAAAAAAAAAAAAAAAAAAAAAAAAAAAAAAAAAAAAAACTGCCACGAGCTTGTACGCCGTTAGGGGGTAAAATCCAAATATTTCAATAAATCACATTTATATAATCCAAAAACGTTTCCTTGTTCTGAGAGCGCTTCGAAAAATTCTCTCTAACGTAATAAAAGACTTCCTATACTGCTCACAAAATCCACTCCTTACTTTTCTGCACTTTGTTAAAAATGAAATACAATAAATTCAAAGAAAACAGGTCCATTATGTTCCACTGCTTACTTCGGCGTGTACGGGTTGAACGGATAAAGACGCAGATTACTGTGACTGTTTTCCACTGCTTACTTCTGCCTGTACGGGTTGAACTGATAAAGACACAGATTACTGTGACTGTTTTTCTAAGATTATTTCTAAATTTGAAATTTTAAAATTTCAGTTGAATCTTTGTCGATTAAGATAAAGGCTGTTTTATTTATTTACCTCATTCGTCGCACCAACTCCCTGATTACACAGAATTCTCGAATACGTGTCAAGGGTGCTGACCACTACACTACGAAGAAGGCGGGAGAAATACCTTATAACGTGAGGGCGAAGCTTTTTATTTTATGTTTAATATCTTTTCTTGACGCTTTGCGGATTTTTAGATAGAGATATCGTGACTACGATAGAAAAATGAGATGAATGTTGTTCTGTAAAGAAACGAATTGTAAATAGCTGTAAATAAAATTTTCCATGTGAAAAAATAGCAAAGAATTCCAATTATCCTGTAGATTTTTTCAAGGAAACGTAAACAGAAAGATTTCCTTATCAAATATTGCTGATGATGAAGATAATAATAAGAAAATACGACATTGGAAACACAGACAATTTTCAAAAAGGTATTTAATTTTCATAAGGGTGCAAATATTTATTTCATCTCCTGCTTAAGTTAATCAGTAACTGAAACGAAAATCGGATTAACGCTATATTGGGTGCTGACGAACCCAGTATAACGTCCTAAGGGTGCTGACGAACCGTTTCAAGGAAGAAACTGATCTTCAGTTCGTGCACACTTCGTAACGCCGCGGTACTATTATAGAGATTTCTGTCTTTTCGAACAGCGATAATAAGGGTGCGGCACAGCTATCAAACAGTCCCAATTATAGTAGGTAAAGAGTGCGGCAGCTTAATTCATAAATATTAGATTGCGTAAGCGGGAAGTCCGGTTTCAATTACAGAACGAAACAAAATAACTGACAGAATAGAAATCGAAAACTATTTCGGTAGTTTTTAACTTTTGCTTACAAATGATGCTATTTTAGGACTAATTAAAAATTGCTTAGCGGTTGAACATTTGTTAAAAGTCATGGAGAGGAAATATATAAGGGAGGAGGGGAAGAAAAAAAAAAAAGCTCTCATGATTAGACAACAAAAAAAATCAGACTTGAATATAAAGACGCGTATTCAGTTTCAAAATTATATATTTTAAAATGACATCTGGAAGGGAAAAAAATTAAAATCTGAACGAGTTCAGATTTTAACGTTGACCCGAAAAGACTCATTTAAAATTTAATATGGGTTATCATTAAAGATTATAGGTAGAGAATGCCAAATGAAAAAGCGAAGCATTTAATAGGATATTAGATAAATATGCATTTAGACTAACATGGGAATGTTATACATCTTCTGTATATTTAAGAAGTGAAAAAATTGTGCAGTATCATTCCATAAAAATATTGAATGTTTTTAATTAGACATATCATGAATTAAATACATTTTAATTTCAATCAATCAGATTAAAAAAGTAAACAAATAATATTCTTAAAGATTGCGTCTATTGCTTTCAAATAACTGTCTGTCAATCAATAACAGACAGATTGAATATGAAGCAATATCTAACGTTTTTTTTCGAATGGCAAGAGGCTCGAACGGAAAATGAAACAACGCAAAACCGTATTTCGAGACTAATAGCCCGTTTGAACTTTACTAACAAGAAGGGGAGGAAAGGCAATTGTTTCAAAACTGCTAAATACGAAACCCCCAAGGAAGAAACAAAACGTAGAATGTGAGCAACAAACCAATTAAGATAAGATATTTCAAGAGAATAAAAATACAATTCCTTGCTCCAAATTTATTTCATATAAATTATATAATTTACACTCGATGTATTGAATAACTTAAATCCATACAAAACCTTTAAATTCGGCTTCCCGAGTTGCTTATTTATATTTACAGAAAGCTTAATACTTACCTGGTATCTCCAGTGCAGAAAGAAGAAAACTATCTTTGGCTTATAGATGAATTCAGTTTTAAAAGAAAATACTCCCCAATTCAAACCATATTCTTCCAATTGTGTCACAACTGCGTAGAAGAAATGCTTTAAAATTAAAGGTCAACATAAAAAAACCGTGAATTGCGTTCCTAGAATTTCCACCACCTTCTTGTATTGTCGGATTACAGAAAATTTTTGCTTCATGGGCTATATTTCATTCTATTGTTTCAAAAGCTGCATGTTGCAAAAAAACACTTTTTATGGTTATTTATTCCAAGTCTGAGAGATTTAGTATAACTTTGCCAATTGTTTAAATCTTCTATTGAAGCTTTAATACTATAAACACTTCTTATTATTTTAACAATTCGGAAAGGCGATAACTAGTGAAAGATATGTAGTGAAGAACATGTAAGAAAAAAAATGTATTCTTGAAATATAGAAATTTATTACGCAAAATTAGTAAGAGATAATAATCACGTCAAAGTTTTCTTCAAATGAGAAACAAAGGGAATAACTTAAAATGGAACTTCATTACAGCGCACTTCGAAAGAGTAATTCATACATTTTTACATGCAAATAAAACTTCTGGCTCTAATTCCAACAAAATTCTGTTAGTTGGTAATGGTATATTTGGCTTTAGTGCACATACATCCGACTATGTTAAAAATATGATTTACCAAAATCATTTCCAGTATAACATTATATTCTGCCTAACATTAAAATTCAAATCAAGAATATTTCTCTTTCCATCCTTAATATCTTATATTTTTAAAGCGTTAATAATTCTCTCTTTTGACCTATCTTATACTAGCCTTGTTCTCGTATTATACGTCTGCATCAAGATTTCCATGATAAAAGGCAATTCGTGCAATTTTCAGGGGTCTTGATTTCCATTCCTCTTACACTGCTTTCTACAGCCCATCCATCCTGGTGGGTTTCAGCTTAGAAAGAGGTCTTTCCGAGAGACCAAAGCTGAAATAGTCCATAGATGAAACGTCAGAGGACTTCGTAGAAATACGTTGAAAAGGTATATATGCAATACCTGTTTATCAGTATTCAATTTTTCAAGGAATGCAATGGTACTTTTAGAAGTATGACTTCTTGCTTTGTCTTGATGAAATTTCAGTCGTTCAGAGTCACTGGGATAAAGAAACGAAATTTCTGTAAATATCGGACTTAAATTTTTCTCTTGATACTACGTTGAGTTGATCTTAACATTCTTTCCCACTCTTCTTATTTTTAATTCTCCATTGTAAAAGAATCCTGAGACAACCATAAATAACTTAGTGATTGTTTTAGCCCAAAGGAGCAATTTGCCCAGAAGAGCTATTGATTTTGTTTTGGCATTTTACATTGATTCACTATAAACGGCAAATCACTTTTTAAACTATTATATTTAAAGAAATTAAATACTGAAGAATTTGCATAAATGTATGTATGTTTCTCTCATTGTGATAAAACAACGGTACCTAGAGCCATCAGATTTTTAACCACGTACGTCTCCACCCGAATACGGGCATCTGGAAGCCCAAATTTTGAATTTGTTTCATTATCTGTTTCATATTTTATAATGCATTTATGAAGAAACTCAAAGATTTCAAATCGAGCAATGGCAACACTGTAAGGAAAGAACAAAAAATATCTTCAGTGCACGAGACTGTGTATTGGAAATTCTAAAAAATTCTCTTTTAAATATTTTGCGATATTTCTGTTGAAATGAATTTTATAGTTTAAGTGCGAAGAACATGATATTTAATAAATAAAGGTAACACACAAAATGTTAAAAAAAGCCCCTTTGGACGTAATATAAAATCTAAAAGCTTTCAGATCTTTTTTTTTTTTTTTTTTTTTTTCATCGATGAAACCAGATTTGTACATTTGTTTCTCTTCGCTTTCGACAATAAATATATCTTTACTTTGCTGCAATCATTTAGGTAAACTCTTGCTTCCTCGATGGTCACAATGCATTTGCATTTATCTCTTGCTAAATATTTTTCCTGCAGTGTGTATCAAAAATAAGTGATGCCTAGATCTAATGTTTCAGTTTTGTATAAGTTGAGGAATCTGGCAACTTCTAGCTAAAAAAACGTAAGAAGCTAGCCGCCTTTTTTTTTCGGGGGGGGGGAGGTCTTTTTGCTATTTTAATGAAGCTGTGCTGGTGCTGAGTGTTTTTTAAGGTGCAGTGTTTTAAGTGTCCATCAATGAAAGTATGTCATACGTACAGGACTATAATATTGTTGTGTGCGTACGGGTTCGTTACGAAATGAATGCACAAGTCCGATGAAAAATGAAGAAAATTTATTATTATCACAACAAATATGATTAAATGTCCTCAAATAATCGTGCAGTATCACAATATATCACAGTAGTATCTTCTAACTACTCAAACGTTCAAGAGAACTTAATTCGAAACAGCTAAAGAAAGCTAATCCGCGAATTCGCTACAATCAACAAGAGCAGTTTTCTAAACAAACTCTGAAAACAACAACAAACTAAGTAACTAACTAAAATCACCCGAACTGAGAGGTTTTCCTCCTTTTATAAGATTTTAAATCGCGCGCGAGAATTTTTTGGAACTTTCTCGAAATCAGAAAGAGATATTTATTAAATGTTAAATGCACGCGCTCTTTTCAATTTATTTTCAATTTTTCGGCTTAGCTTTCTTTTAATATTCGTCACGCGCTGCACTCCGCGGGAAATAAAACCAATTAATTTACAATTCAACTAACGTTAATTATTTAAATGCCAAATTCGTAACAATATGTCTAGATTCTCATTTATGTTTGCAATTTCTGTTAACAAAAGTAGCATTTACATTCCGCTGTAGTTATGAATTTCATGAAAAGATTGAAAACACTACTGCAGGAGGTGTAAAATTAACTAAATTAAACTTGTCATTGTTTAATAGAAAGATGCAGATTGAGTAGGTTTTGGGGATCTTTTCATTTTCAGTATTCACAACAATACTGCATTTGAGCTGTTCTCTCCGTGAGTTTGGCGGGCCATTCTACTTCCATGATTTATTTACTGTTTTTGAGTTTGGGAATCCTGAAGTTATTATCGTTTGACTTTTATTTTTTTTTTTTAAGTTAGAAGGAGTTCCCTGGAAAGTACCACAGCGATGAGGGTTTTCGTCGCTGACAGCTAACTTCCTGTATTTTACTACAACCGATAGCTGTGATAACTTTGAAAGTCATGTAAGTCATCGCCGAAATTTTCAAGTCTCCTTCTGTAAATAAAATACAATAAATGTTTGGGCGATAAGTATCAGGGCCGATCCTAAGGTGTCGGCAGCCGAGTGCAAAGACCGTATGTGCCGCCTCTCTAAAGAATTTTTCATATATTGACTAAACTTTGACGTTATAAACTCATCTACCTGTATAAGAGTAAAAAGTAAAACATTAATTAAAATGCAAATAAAATTTGAAGTGCAAAACATTATTTCTTTTTAGCCAGCTAATAGGTTACAATAGCGACAAAATACTTTAAAAAATAAACTGGTTATCATAAATTAAGGAAAAATCACGATTACTGAAAAAGTTACATGTAGAATTTTATGAAATTTACCCACAATATATAACACATAGTAAGTATCAAATAACATAAAAAGAAATTACCAGACAATTATGTTAGTATAGAAATTAGCACATGTATAAAATGAACAAATCGGAAGATGTCAGTTTGCTATAGTAAAAGTACCTTCAATATAGGAATATATGATCGCCTCCTAGAAGCAATACAGCACATACAGCGGATGTGTAATGCTTTTCAATTATGCGGTCTTATCAGTTTCCATAGGAAGCGAGAGGCCATTGCTCTTGCAAAGCAGTTGCAAGCACGGCAAGGGTCTGAGGGGGCGGATTGAGAGCAGATAAACGTCTCCCTAAAGCATCGCAAACGTGCTCGATAGGATTCAAGTCCGGGAATCGAGCTGGCCACTCCATGCGCATAATTGTTTTCTGTTGAAGATAATCATATACGATGCGAGCCCTGTGTGGTCTTGCATTGTCGTCCTGTAACAGGAAAGCATCACCTATTGCCCTGGCATATGGGCGTACATAAGCATCAAGGATGTCATCTCTATAAACATGAGCATTCACGGTTCCACTTGGAAAAACATGTAGGTCTGTGCGTCCACCCAAAGAGATGCCACCCCAAACTCAGACACTACCTCTTCCGTATGCATCTCTTTCACGGATGTTAGACGGATGATAACGGATTCCAGGTTCTCTCCATATCAAATAATGCCTACTATCGCGTTCTAGACTAAACCTGGACTCATCCGTAAAGAGAATAACCCTCCATTGCTCAGGCGTCCAGTGGATATGTTGTCGTGCCCACTGCAAACAGTTCCTCCTATGGCGTGACGTGAGCGGCACGCAAATGGCTGGTCACCTCGCATACAGAGTACCTTAGTGAAGCCTTCTACGCACGGTTGACGTTAACACCAACCTTCTAGTGGCTACAGCAAGGGAGGATCTAAGAAGAGTCGGAGTAGCGGTTCTATCCTGCGTGCACATAATCTCAAATATCGGTCATCGGCGCTTGTCGTAGCAGTTGGCAGTCCTTGGCTGAACCTCCTAGATGTCGAATCTGTGGTCTGAAATTGTCTCCAAAGTCAATGAACCACAGAAGGACTTACATTTAGCCATCTGGCCGCTTCTGTTTGACTTTGTCCTGCCTCCAGTCTCCCAATGGCTCTCCATCGTAGTTCTGCAGGCAAATGATGCCTGGAGTTCATTGTTACGAATTGGCTATCTCAGATTTCTGATGTCACTATCACAGAGAAATATGTGGGCTTGCTCTCAAACATGGACATTTATGCTCCTCGCAGATGACGTATTCCAAGTGCAGCGCCACTAATTTGCATATTGGAGTTTTACTTAGCTACTCTTGTTTGGCAACATATTCAAATTTTACACGGTCTGGCTTATTTTTGAGGGAGCTATCGTTATTTTTGTGATTTTTTCTTAATTTATGATAACCAGTGTAATAAACAAACAAAAATATTACCTTTAAAATAAAAATAGACTTTTTATAATTAGAAATGCAAAACAACAGTATTTACTCAAGCATAATCTAATAAATAAGTGCTAAAGCATAGATTTCGTGAAGCAAAAAGTGTATA